GAGAGACAGAACGCTGTCCGGCATCGCTGCTGGTGTTGCGCACGCGTAGGCGTGGTCGATGCGACTGACGCCTGCGAAAAAAAAGTGGCCGCCGACGGGGATCGAACCACCAACTCGCGCGCTTGAACACCGAGCGGAATATTTATTCCTGGGTTACTGCTGCTCTTCCGCACGGTTATTCGGCTCGGCCCACATGACACGGTGCTGCGCACCGGAACCAGTTCCGCCGGACACAGCGCTGCGAAGCAGAGGCCCGTAACTCGGACGTAAGTGGCCAGTACCTCGGAAATGGCCTCACGCAGTTACAACCTTTTTGCACGAGCAACTTCGATAGGAAATTCGATTTGGATCGATTTGGTCCCGGAGACCGAGGTCGAGAGTGAGGTTCACAGCGCAGAAGTCCGCGGGGTGCGTCTTACAGTGAGCCAGAAGACCGGCGCGGGCGGCCAAAACTCTAAACGCGTTTTGAGCTCCAGATTCGCTTAACAGTACTCAATCCGAGCGTGTGACCCCACCAATGGATTCGTCATTCGGTGAGCAAGCCATTGGTGGGGTCACAAGTTTGGTTCGAGTCCCATTTAGCGACACTGGAGCTCAAAACGCGCCCGGGGCTTGGACCGCCTCCACCGGTCTTCTGGCCCACTGTGCGTCTGCGCGTCACGGGTCCCTGCAGACCAAGACGAGCGCAGGCCAGCACGCGACCGCCAGCGCCTCTGTGTGCACAAATTACGTCACGCCGATAAACTGCGCGTATCATCTGGCATAACGTTGCGCCCGCGTTACGCGTATCACGCCTAGCGCGGCCTAGCGCCTCACGGGCACGGGGTAGGCCGCCCGCCGCGCTGCGCTGCGCGCATGGCCGCCGGCTGCCTAACTCACAGGCGCTACACAGGCAAGACCGGTGGAGGTGGCCAAAACTCTAGACGCGTTTTGAGCTCCAGAGTCGCTAAACGGGACTCGAACCGAACGTGTGATCCCACCAATGGATTCCTCGTTCGGAGAGCAATCCATTGGTGGGGTCACTCGTTCGGTTCGAGTCCCATTTAGCGACTCTGGAGCTCAAAACGCGTCCGGAATTTTGTCCGCCCTCACCGGTCTCCTGGCCCACTGTGCCCCGCACGTACTTTTAACGAGATGTCGACCCCGCCGGTCAATGCGGCGCGCTTTTGAAAGGACGTTCCCGAGCGCCCGTTCTGCATTAAACAGACTGCCGGCGGGCCGAGTCGCACTGTCTCTCTCGCACTCACGGGGCGTCCCGGGGGCGTGCGAGAGAGACAGTGCGAATCCTTCTGCAGCCAGCCCATCTCCACCTGCAGCTGCGTACCGCGGTCCATCGCGGGGGGGGGGGGGGGGGGGTGCGCGCGCGGTGGGCCCCCCAGGGGGTGGGGAGCGGCGAGAAGGTGCTGTGGTATAAAGGCCCCGGAGAGGGCTGCGGACAGCACATCCCGAGCAAGCCTCACTCCAGCTCCACCAGAGCAGCAACAGTGCAGTGACAGTGGTGTGTGAGTGAGTGTGTGTGTGCGTGTGTGAGTGTGTGCGTGCGCGGTCTGTGATAGTGCCAAGGAGGGAAGCCCCTGCAGCCATGGCCATGAAGGTGAGTAGCATGTCAAAAATTAGGAACAAAACAAGAAAACCAAAAAGAAAATCTCATTTTGAAAATCAAAACGAGAAAAAAAATCTTTTGAGTTCAAAATTTGATCATGGATACAGCCGCAATTTTTTTGAAACATCAGCAAAGTATAAGTGATAAATGTTGCAGCTGTGTTCCAAATTTCTCAGATGTAATGTTTGATTTAAAAATTAGTCAAACTCGGTCAAATTGGAGCTGTGTTCCAAATATAGCAAATGTCATGTTTGATTTAAAATTTCGTCAAATTGGACTAAGTCGCAATTTTAAAATGTCTGCAAGGTGCATAGGTGACCAAAGTTTTAACCGTATTCCAAAAATCACAGATATGATTAAATTGATAAAATAGTCAGGATAGTGCGCGGATAAAAAAGTGATGGCGCCAGTCATCAAAAAGTTTCGGCTTACCTGAAGGGTCCAAGATTCGCGATGCTCGAGCTCGAAGACAACTTTGGCGGTGCTGCCAGCCCGCAGTCACAGTGGGCCAGAAGACCGCGGCTAGCGGCCAACACTCTGGACGCGTGTTGAGCTCCAGAGCATCTAGGCAGGACTCGAGCCGAACGTGTGACCCCACCAATGGATTGCTCTCCGAACGAGGAATCAATTGGTGGGGTCACACGATCGATTGGACTCCTGTTTTGCTTAGCGACTCTGGAGCTCAAAACACGTCTAGACTTTCGGCTGCCGGCGCCGGTCTTCTAGCCCACTGAGCAGCCTTCCCGGGGACGTCACTGCTCTTGATCGCCATCGTCGCGTCGTGGCCGCCGTTTGCCAGTGTCTCGGAACGCACTGTTTCGTCCATCCGTCTCTCTCGCACTCATGAGGCGCCGTGCAGGTGCGAGAGAGAGAGAGAGAGAGAGAGAGAGAGAGAGAGAGAGAGAGAGAGAGAGAGAGAGAGAGAGAGAGGCGCCACGACGAAAGCGGTGAAGTTGGAGGTGAAGTGCAGCGGGACCACAATGGACCGCGTCCCGCACAACAACTGCCCTGGATGCCCCCGTCGCTCTGTCTCCGTTGCACTCGCGTGGCTGGCGGACCAAGGGTGCGAGAGAGACAGAGCGACGAAGGCTGGCCTCGCCCCGGCCTCGTCTCGTCCAGGGAAGGACACAGGACACGGGACACAGGGCACAGCACAGGGTGTCGAGTGGCGCGTCTTCCCGCGCCATTCAGGACTCCCCGTCTCTGGACAGCGCCCAGCGCACAATGGGCCAGAAGACCGGTGGAGGCGGACAAAACTCTAGACGCGTTTTGAGCTCCAGAGTCGCTAAATGGGACTCGAACCGAACGTGTGACCCCACCAATGGATTGCTCTCCGAACGAGGAATCCATTGGTGCGGTCACACGTTCGATTCGAGGCCTGTTTAGCGACTCTGGAGCTCAAAACGCGTCTGGAGTTCTGTCCGCCTCCACCAGTCTTCTGGCCCACTGTGCAGCGGCCCAGCGGCGCCCAGCCAATCAGGGGCCTTGCCGCGTGCGAGCGGCCTTGCCAGGTCCTTCTTCACCTCCTCCGCGAGCGACAATCGGCAATGGCTGCATTCGCCAGCACTGAAAGCCGTGAATGTGTCCTGGGAGAAATTTTGGGGGCTCCGCGGCGACGCACAGTGGGCCAGAAGACCGGCGGAGGTGGCCTCAACTCCGGACGCGTTTTGAGCTCCAGAGTGACTAAAGAGGACTCGAGGACTCCACCGGTCTTCTGGTCCACCACTGTGCAGCGGTCTGCAAGGATGTGCTCAAATTCCATTATTTACATTTTTGGTGCCTTTAATTCTCAAACAGTTACTTTAAAAAGTTAGGCACACAATCACTTCAATTTGAAATTCAATTTTGAAATTGATTTACATTATGCATAGCTGTTTTCAATTTTTTCCAAAATCTCCAAATGTGCATGTTAAGTTAGCGCACCCTTCCTCTTAAACTTGTTACTTTTTGGTGCGTCCAAACGAGGCCTGCAATTGCAGGATCGTTAATCTTCAAAATTTCTAAACGCCACTTTCTTTTGTAAATTTTTTTTTCTCATAGCCGCAACCCACCTGGCCTCCGATTCAATTCGAATGCCTTTTTCTGCCGCGTCCGAGGCCACGGGGTTTTCGGAACGGGAAAAAAGGTGGCTGCTAGGCCGCGGCGTTCGCCTGGTTCACACCTTGCTTGCAGTGGCGGAGGCGCACAGTGGGCCAGAAGACCGGCGGAAGCGGCCAAAACTCTAGACGCGTTTTGAGCTCCAGAGTCGCTAAACAGGCCTTGAACCGAACGTGTGACCCCACTAATGGACTGCTCTCCGATCGAGGAATCCATTGATGGGGTCACACGTTCGATTCGAGTCCCATTCAGCGACTCTGGAGCTCAAAACGCGTCTAGAGTTTTGGCCGGCTCCACCAGTCTTCTGGCCCACTGTGAGGCGCCACGAGGCAGCAGACTGATTCCGAGAGTCGTTTTCGTCGCTCTGTCTCTCCCGCACCTGCAGGGGACGCAGCGTGAGTGCGAGAGAGACAGAGCGACGAAAACGACTCTCGAAATCCGTCTGCAGCTTACAAAGACGAGAGACGCGTGGCGCTGCAACGCGCCTCTCTAACCAAAGTCGCCCATTTCGAGACGTGCCTGTGGACTGATTCCGAGCGTCGTTCTCGTCGCTCTGTCTCTCTCGCACTCATGAGGCGTCCCGTATCGGTGCGAGAGAGACAGAGCGACGAAAACGACCCTCGGAATCGCCCCCGCTGGTGCACTGTGCGGTGCGGGGCGGGGCGGCGGCATGCATGCCATGACAAGCAGCGTCGCCGATTCGGAGCGACGGTTCATCTCTCTCGCACACCCATGCGGGCGCCCTGTGAGTGCGAGAGAGAAAGAGAGAGCGAGTCGGTCTGATGCCTGGCAATGCGATGTTTGGCAATAGGGGAAAGGATCCCCGCCGCCGGCCGAACAGCGCGCGGTACGCGGTGACGGTGGATGACAGCAGCGCGGCCGCCCCGGCCCCCGCAGCACAGTGGGCCAGAAGACCGGTGGACGCGTCCAAAACTCTAGACGCGTTTTGAGCTCCAGAGTCTCCAAATGGGACTCGAACTGAACGTGTGACCCCACCAATGGATTGCTCTCCGAACGAGGAATCCATTGGTGGGGTCACCCGATCGGTTCGAGTCCCACTTAGCGACCCTGGAGCTCTAAACGCGTCTAGAGTTTTGACCGCCTCCACCGGTCTTCTGGCCCACTGTGCGGAGGTGGAGGTCAGCGCTGACCCGAGCCACTTGGCCGTTACTGTCTCATCAAACTCACGTCCTTTCCTTTCGCCGCTGTGCAGGTGACGGTGCTGCTGGCCGTGGCCTTGGCGGCCGTCTTCGCCGAGGTCTTCGCCGAGCCCCCCGTGGGCCCCGGCCGCGACTACCTGCCCCCGGACAACGGCCTCACCGGCGCCGTGCCCTCCGGGTTCAAGGCGTCGCAGCCGTCCTCCAGCTACGGGCCGCCGTCCGGGCCCTCCGCGCCGTCCGCGCCGTCGGCTAGGTACGGCGCGCCGTCGGCGTCCTCGCGCAGGCCCAGCTCGCGCTACGGACCCCCAGGACGATCCGGGCCGCGCCAGAACGGCCCCGCGGGCTTCGGAGCGCCCTCGTCCAGCTACGGCGCCCCTGGTGGCTCCTCCGGTTTCGGCGCTCCTTCGTCTAACTACGGTCCCCCTGGTGGCTCCTCCGGTTTCGGCGCTCCTTCGTCTAACTACGGTCCCCCTGGTGGCTCCTCCGGTTTCGGCGCTCCTTCGTCTAACTACGGTCCCCCCGGTGGCTCCTCCGGTTTCGGCGCTCCTTCGTCTAACTACGGTGCCCCCGGTGGCTCCTCCGGTTTCGGCGCTCCTTCGTCCACCTACGGTGCCCCCGGTGGCTCGGCCCGCGGCTTCGGCTCCTCGTCGTCCTCTCGCGCGCCCTCGTCTTCGTACGGACCTCCCAGCTCGTCCGGTCGCGGTTTCGGAGCGCCCTCGTCCAACTACGGCGCGCCCGACAACATCCCTCGCGGGTTCTCGGCCCCCTCCTCCTCCTACGGCGCCCCTAGCGGCCGTGGTTCGGCGCGCGGTTTCGGCTCACCCTCTTCAACCTACGGCGCCCCTGGTGGCTCTTCCGGTTCCGGTTTCGGCTCCCCCTCGTCCTCTTACGGCGCTCCGAGCGACGCTGGTTTCGACGCACCCTCCTCGAGCTACGGCGCTCCTGAGGGCTCCTCCGGTTTCGGCGCCCCCGGCAGCTCCGGCTTCAAGGCTCCCTCATCGTCCTACGGCGCGCCTGGCAGCTCTTCCGGTTCCGGTTTTAAGACTCCCTCATCGTCCTACGGCGCGCCTGGCAGCTCTTCCAGTTCCGGTTTCAAGACTCCCTCATCGTCCTACGGCGCGCCAGGCGGCTCTTCCAGTTCCGGTTTCGGATCCCCCTCTTCGACCTACGGCGCGCCAGGTGGCTCTTCCGGTTCCGGTTTCAAGGCCCCCTCGTCTAGTTACGGTGCCCCTGGCAGCTCTTCCGGCTCCGGTTTCGGTGCTCCCTCGGACACCTACGGCGCGCCTGGCTTCGGCAAGTCCAACGGCGGCGGCGACGACGAGGACGACCAGTCGGTAAGTGTACCATCTTCACTCTCCCACAACGTGCAAACTGACTCCTTTTCAAACGCACAGTGCGCCAGAAGACCGGTGGCGGCGGCCAAAGTCCCGGACGCGTTTTGAGCTCCCGTGTCGCTAAATGGGACTCGAACCGATCGTGTGACCCCACCATTGAATTGCTCTCCGAACGAGAAATCCATTGGTGGGGTCACAAGTTCGGTTCGAGACTCTGGAGCTCAAAACGCTTCTAGAGTTTTGACCGCCCCCACCGGTCTTCTGGCCCACTGTGAACCGAACCCCGTAATTGCCGCAGGAGCCCGCCAAGTACGAGTTCTCCTACGAGGTGGACGCGCCGGAGACGGGCGCGCAGTTCGGCCACGAGGAGTCCCGCGACGGTGACTTCACCAAGGGCAAGTACCACGTGCTGCTGCCCGACGGGCGCGTGCAGACCGTCGAGTACACCGCGGACCAGGACGGCTACAAGCCCACCATCAGCTACGAGCAGACCGACAACGTCATCGGCGACGGCCGCAAGGGCGACGACGGCTACCCCAGCGGACCCAACAACGGCCAGGGCGGCTACCCGAGCGGCAGGCCCGGCGGCAAGAACGGACAGGGCTCCGGCAGTTACTCGTCCGGAGGCCAGGGTGGTTACTCATCTGGCAGCCAAGGTGGTTACTCGTCCGGCGGCCAGGGTGGTTACTCTTCCGGCGGCCAGGGTGGTTACTCTTCCGGAGGCCAGGGTGGTTACTCGTCCGGCGGCCAGGGTGGTTACTCGTCCGGCGGCCAGGGTGGTTACTCGTCCGGAGGTGGTTACTCGTCCGGAGGCCAGGGTGGTTACTCATCTGGAAGCCAGGGCGGCTACAGCCAGGACGCCGACGACGACGCGGTGTCCGTGGACGGGGCCCAGGGCCCCTACTAGACGAACCACAACCGTCCCCGGTCCCGGCAGGCGCCGCTGTGCACAGTGGAGCGGTGTCTCGCCGGGGTTGATCTCGACTGGACTGTCGCCTGTCTCCGCCGGCCTGTGTCTACTTTCTAATTTATTGCGGGGGAACGGAACTCTCAACGGGTGGCTGTCCCGCCGCCTCGCTTGCCATATTACTTCTTTTTGGGAGTCGGTGCTTAACCCGTTGTCAGGGTTCGAGTGTAGGAGTCGTTTGCTGGCCCCGCGGTAACCAGTGAGGGAAACAAAAAAAGAGCTACAAATTTGCTGTATTTTTATACCACTGTTTGAAGGAAATCCTAAGGACCCGTCTCATTTTATGACAATCCAGTGAGGCCATTTGTATGAAATTTTCTGTGGTGCCAATGGGACGAACCGTCTCTGCGTTGTTTGACAACTTCCCGGGCGTGCCATACAAACTAGGTCCAACTTGAGGCAGTCAGACTTTTATGTCCCAGCCTTTTCTCTCGGTTTTCGTCCCCTTCATAATGGCATTTTTGTGATAATATCGGAGTGTATAGTGAATGTTTGTGTGTGTGTAAATTCTGTCTTCATTGTAAGTGAGCTTGTATTGTATATATAGAGAATAAAATGATTCAACTCCTTTTTAATCAATTTTGTTTATTTTGTTGTTGTTTTTGAGCACAACAAAAATATTACGAACAGTCATCACAAATTTAATGACCTTATTCACAAGAATTAAGCGTACACACTCCTACATTAAAGTTTAAACATAACAAAAGATAAACAACTTGTGTTCCATTCACACACTGTACAAAAAAAAAAAGTCAGTCATCTATGTATCACAGCTTTTTTTTTCATTTCTTTTTTTAACAAAAGCAATAAAGAACAATAAGGAGCCATGACTACTAACTCCGTAGTTTCACAGAAACAAAACAATAGTTTTACAAAACCTTCAGGCAAGTTGAGCGTAAATTTGTTTCACGTTCTTGGTCAGTCTGGTTGAAAAGTACTTAAGTCTAATTGAGTCCCTTGCCGTGTCACAGCGTGCGGTAGGACACCTTCCCGCTGAGGACGTCCTTGTTGCCGGCCACCTTCTCCAGCGTGGAGTGCGCGTCGATCCAGGCGCGCCGCTCGTCCGTGGTGGCCGCCTCCCGGATGAACTGGCAGCACTCGTCGAACTCGCACACCTCGCGCCGCGCCTTCAGGGCCTTGACGAACTTCTTGCACGTCATGTTGGGCTTCCTCTGGGCCAGCTCCACGTACGAGTGGTAGGTGAGCGCGATGTCCTGCGCCAGGCGCGCGCACGGCGCCGTCGGCAGCACCCGCGCGTTGGCCGGGTCCCTGCAGGCGAAGAAAAACGACAGGGTGAGATCAGAAGGACACGGCAGTTGAAATGGGAAGCAATAAAGGTTTCGCTTGGACTTACTTGAGCAGCCAGGCGGCCCGCACGCGGTGGTTCACGTAGTCCTCGAACTTCTTCTCCGGCGGCGGGAACTGGGAGTACACCAACCTGCCTCCCTTGTTGCGCTTGCGAGCCAGCTGCCACATGGCCTTGTGGAAGGACTCCAAGGCCAGGGTCTCCGTGTCCTCGGGCAGCCCGACGTACCTGGAGCAACCAAAGAGCCGTCAGAAAAGTTACGTCTTTCAGTGGGTCAGCGCGGCTGTGCGCAAACTGCGGACTGCGGCGAGACTCACCACATGTCCATGGTGGCCTTGTTGAGCAGGGTGGGCCTGCAGGTCCGCGCGCACAGCGTGTCGTGCTGCTGGCCCTCCAGGGGCCGGCACTTGTCGACCTCCACGCCGTGCACGCACAGCAGAGGCTCGGCCTCGGCCACGCCCGTCAGGTCCTTGCGCACGGCCTTCTCCTCGTGGGCCAGCCTGTCGGGGTGGCAGCCGGCGGCGGCCAGCTGGTCCAGGCGCTTGGTGTACATGCGCACGGAGTAGGAGCGGCCCTTCTTGGCGCGCAGGCGCGCGTCGCGGCCCGACTTGGAGTACTGCACGCCCGACATGAGCGCGCTCAGCGTGCGGAAGTGCGCCCTGGGGAACGGCTGGTCCTGGAAGGCGGGCCCCGCGTACACCCGCAGCGCGTCCCAGACCTTGGCGGCGTCCTCCTCGCTCTGCGTCCACCAGAACTGCGTGAGCACGTCCAGCGGCAGGCGCGGGTCGAGCGCGGCCTGCAGCACGGCGCACGCCAGGCGCGCCGCCGTGGCGAAGGTGCCCTTGATGATGACGGGCAGCCCCACGGTGAAGGTGAGCGGCGTGGCCATGCCGCCGACGTACCGCCGCCACACGGCGCGCAGCTTCTCGGCCGCGGCGCGGTCCTCCGGCCGGGCCATCTCGTGCGCCTTCCAGGCGGCGAAGGCCTTCTCCAGCACCAGGGCCAGCGACAGCGCCACGGACGGCATGGAGCGGCCGCCGCGCACGAACCGCGACAGCATGTGCGCGTTCCACGCGTCGACCTGGGCCAGGCGGTCCGCGGGCAGCGACTCCGCCGAGGCCGGCACCAGCAGCACGCAGTCCATGTGCTGCCGCGTGAACGGGTTCACGCCGAAGCTATACGCGCCCGAGCTGAGCGCCTCGGGTCCTGCGTCCGCCGCGGCCACCTGGTCGTCGTTGCGGAGGTGCGTGCCGGCCTGCAGGCCCTGCACGAACTCGTCCTCGTTGAAGTCGTTCTGCTCGTCCTGCGCCTGCCACGGGTTGGCCACGTCCGAGACGCCGTCCGTGTGCTGCTGGTCGCGCAGCGCGAACAGCGTGTCCAGCCCGAACGTGTTGTCGAAGTTGGCCTTGACGTTGACCGCCAGCGCGCACTTGATCGGCGTGTTGAACAGGCGCCTCCTGGCGGCCAGACGCGCCATGCGCGCCGCGCGAGACTTGCCGCGAACCTTGTCCGTGACCGGTGGGTCCGGCATGTCCAGCTGGGCGGGCATCACGATCACGGCGTTCTTGCCCATCCCCAGGAACATGATGTGGTCCAGCAGCACCTCCTCCTGCTCGTCGAACTGCTCGCCGGCCCCGCCCGAACTCTTCAGCACCATCGGTGCGTAGGCGGAGACGCGGATCAGAGACCCATTCCTGCAGCAGACCAAGTGCACCATTAGCAAGAGAAAACCACGAATCCTGATCGGCCGAAGGGCTAGAGGGCTCGAAGACTAAACGGAACACTGCACGCATTTGAAAATCAACTCACTTGGTCTCGTTGAGGAAGCGCTGGCAGTAGCCCTGCACCATCTTGACGTCGTCGCTGACGGCGTGCCCGACGAACGGCTTCTTGGCGGCCGCCCAGTCGCCGTTGGCCACCGCGTCGAGGAGGGCCTTCTCCTCCTCGGCCGCCATCCGCCGCACGCGGTGCTCCTCGTTGACGGCGTCCACGCGCTCCCTCACCAGCCGCCGGATGTCGCGGCGGGCCTCGGGGGACGCGTTGGCGAAGCGCTGCGCCAGGTAGTGCACGCCCGTCGTCATGTCCGCCTCCGACTTGCCCAGCCCGATGTACTGGTCCAGGATGTCGACGGCGGTCACCGTGTCGGAGATGGGAGCGGCGCTGAACTCGATCAACTGGAATGGAAACGAGGAAACAGTTAGGTTTGGTTTGGTTGGCTTAGGTTAGGTGAGGTTATGTTGGATTTGGTTGGATTAGATTAAGTTAGGTTGGATTAGCTTAAGTTGGGTTGGATTAGTTTAGGTGAGGTTAGGTAAGGTTGGATTAGGTTAGAACTGCGAAGGCTAACCTTCCCCAACCTAATCCAACCTTACCTAACCTAAACTAATCAAACCTAACTCAAGCTAATCCAACCTAGAATAATCTTAGTTAGGGAAGGTTGGATTAGGTTAGGGAAGATTGGCCTTCCAGGTTCTGAAGTAACCTAATCCAACCTTACCTAACCTAACCTAATCCAACCTAACCTAGCCTACCAAACGAGAAGAAGGCTCACCTTCTTGTCGCCGCCCTGCGCGACGCGCGTGCGGTGCATCTCCAGCACGTGCCCGTCGAAGATGGCGGACAGCCCCACGTTCATCTGCTCGAGGTTGCTGTTGACGTAGCTGATGACCACCTCGCGGATCTTGAGGTCCTTGTGGTGCTGTGCGAGGCGCTGGCGGGCCTCCGTCACGCTGTGCTCGCCGATCTCGCCGTCCGTGTACACGTGCAGGTCGATGACCCCCGACGACGGCAGCAGCTCCACGAAGTAGATCGGGTCGGTGCCGCCGAGCGTCTCCGACTGGTCGCCGAGGTACTCCACCACGTCGTTGAGCGAGTCCTTGAACACGGCGGCGCTGCCCCAGAGGATCCACTTGGTCGGGCCGGAGGGCAGCTGGAGGTTCAGCAGGTCGTTCGTCACCCAGGAGGGGTAGATGACGTCCCCGCGGATGGAGCCGCTCACGTCCAGCGCCACGTACAGCGTGCCGCTGGCCGCGCCGGTGGCCGTGTCCGTGTCCATGGCCTCGGCCTCGACGGCCTGCACCTCGGCCACCTGCTTCGTGCCCTTGTTGGTCATGGCTGCCTCCAACCTGAAACAGAGGGCGAGAGTCAGAACACTGCAGCAGAGGCCGGGTCGGCGGGTGGGGACTAGAGGCCCTCGAACGAGCCGAAGGGATATGATGACTTCTAGCGGAGACCAACAAAAATTGTCCGCGATGCGCACCAGTGTCGAAAGGGTTGCCAACTTCAGCCTGCCCATCAAACAAAAAGTGGGGCGTTGCTTTCGAAAAGTCGCCGAGGAGGCAGGCTGAGTTTGGCAACCCATTCCACACTGGTGTATCGTGGACCATTTTTGCCCCCTTTGGAGGCAACACTCTAGAAACTGAAGAGTGTGCATGGCATGCTCCCCCATGGAGTATGCCACAAAGCACGCTCCATCCTGGAGTGTGCTTGCAAGCACACTCTACGGAGGAGCATGCTTGGCAAGCACGCTCTACGGAGGAGCATGCTTCCAAGCACACTCCAGGATAAAGCGTGCTGCGTCGCTATTGCAAGGCTCTTATGAACGAAGAGGCACGCCTTCATCCTAGAGTGTGCTTTGAAGCATGCTCCTCCGTAGAGTGTGCTTGCCAAGCATGCTCTTCCGTAGAGTGTGCTTGCAAGCACACTCTACGGAGGAGCATGCTTTGTGGCATACTCCCTGGAGGAGCATGCCATGCACACT